CTGCCCTGACATTTAATGTTTGGCACAGTTTCTGTTGTGACAAATAGCGCTGAGGGATTTCATGTATTGGATTCTTATCAGCCATACAAAATAACTGATTTGGAACAACTTTTCTGTGGGATGCTTTGCTGATTCATGCCAGAACCACCAAAATTCCTCCAATGTCACAAAATGCAACCAAGTGAGGATTTTTGTTTTACCATGCCCCCTTTAGATTGTCCCCTACCAATTTCCAAATACTAGACCAAAAGTATTACTATACTGATATAAATACAAACACAAAACTGTTATCAATTGATCAAACCAAGTCAAATATTAAATTCCAGAATACCAAATAACCCATGCCCAGCACCAGAAGATCACATATCTTATACAGGCAGGATTTCCAAAAGAAGGCCTTATTATCAAATGGCATCTTACTTGTATCCCAGACTGGTCCAAGGGTATATGGTCTTCTCGAGGAAATTCTAGGTACTTGTCACAGATCACGCAGATCCACAGGAGATCAGGTAGAGTGTCCCATCTGAGTGGCCAAAATTGATTTTCAATTCAGATAGACAGACAATTTATAACTTAGTTTTGAGTATTGAAAAGTTTTAGTATTAGAATTATGTGAAGAAAGAAATTTTTCATTGCAGTGGGAGTCACTAGGGGATCCATGCTCTAACTGAGTGCACTTGGGGCATCCTTCATCAATTTCAGTGCAATGAGCTTAAGATAAAGAGAGTTTTTATCATACACACTGATCACATATTCATTAGCTAGCCCAAATCACTTGATGTTATTTTATATAGTTGCCATACATACTGGCTGTACTACTATGCTTCTTTGGGGTCTGTTCTCAAGTCTGATGTCATTTTTAGGTAGCTGGTACTCAAGTGCAGCTTTCAAATAAGCTCAGTATCGTTGATTAGCAGAACTTTTGCTTTGTCAGCCTTCCAGAGTTGAGATGGCATCCTGCCTGCCTTTTGCACGACTTCTATTTGCCTAAGTAATATCCTTAAGGTATTTCTTGAAGGCTGTGCTCTTCTGGGATGCCACTCTTATCAGGCTAAAATGCTGTTCTGTTCAACTATCCTTTTCAACCTCCCTATATCAACCTCCCAGACATGATCAAAGTCGTTACTCTACATGCTTCAATCTCTATGAAAGCATCATTTTCCCACAGCTCCAGGCTCAGGACAAAGGCCACTGTGGATACAGGAATTCCCCATCCCCACAGAAGAAACAGAACACTGTCACCTCCAAGCCTCCCCTTGAGGCAGGAACAAGGACAGTGGGAAACAGCTGAGTGCCCCAAGGCTGCCTAGAGGTGCCATCAAAGGGACGGCCAGGGTTTGGGATTGTCCTTGAGAGATTTGGATGCCGTGACCCTCTCCAGGTTCCTGCAGAGAAGGAACTGGGCCCTGAGTGTGTGTGAGGGGCTGGCACTGCTGGGCAGGGAAGGCCCTACGGGGCGTGCAATGGCTGGGCTGAGAGCTCAGCTCAGGCCCAGCTCTGGACACACACACAGGGGCACTGACACACTGCCAGCCTGCCCAGCTGTGCTCAGAGATGAGCCCAGAGGCACAGAGCCCAGCACACGGGCACAGGCACAGGGCAGGGGGACTGCACACAAGCGCCCTGCCCTGTGTTCAACTGTCCCTGTGCCGGCCAGAGGCTCTCAGGGGTGTTCCCACCAGGGCACAAGCACAGCGATGTGCAGACACTGGCACACACCGGGGCACAGCCACGCTCCCACTCACATTATTGTGGGGGAGGACATGGGGCAGAGGCCTGAGGAAGGGATGTGCCTGAGGAGGTGCTGGGAAGCTTCCAGTCAGAGCAGATTCTGGGAACACCAAGGAGGAGAGAAGCTCAGGCAGCAGTGCTACAAGAGTCTCATGCACTGTGAAGGCCAAGGAAGAAGCCAAAGATGTTTCTTTCAAAGGCCAAATCACATAGAGGAGCCATTAGGTGGTGAGAAAAAGACTGGAGGGCTGAGAGCAGAGGAGGCCCTGACAGCCAGCAGGAACATAAAACATCCAAAAGAATGCCACTGGCTGGAATCACCTGCCTCCTTGAGATCCCTTCTGCACATACTTCATGTCTCTTACACACACTGATACACACATCCTTTGCCCCAGGAAACATGGGATCTCACATACCAGCATTCAAAAGAAGTGTCCATGAAGGAATGGGAATGATGTGAGCCAGGAAATGCAAAGTCATTGGAGAGGGAAAAACCAACTCATGCCATATCATTCCCAGAAATCTTTCCATTCATTTAGGATCATGCAGGAATATCGTCACTTGTGCAGCACAATCTTTGGGCCCTGAGGCCCTGTGGGGCCAGGATAAAAGGCAGCTGAACTGGTGGCTCTCTCAACCATTTCTGTCACCTCCTCCTCCTTGTGAACCAGGTGAGTTGGAAGCCCCTTTCTTGTCCACCCTCTCCACGACTGCATTGATCCTTCTGTTCCTTGTTCCTGCCCCTTGGGCCTCCGGGGGGGGTCCGCAAGGGGTGGGGGGCCGGCAAAAGGGAGACCGTGTGTTCTGGGCAGAGGCTGAGGCTGGGCTGAGGTGCTGATTTCCATCCCGGTTAGGCAGGAGCACAGCTGGGCCTGGCTGAGCTCAGAAGGACCGTGCTGGGCTCAGGCAAAGGATGCCCAGGCTGAGCCTGCACAGGCTGGAGCTGCGCAGGCAGCAGGGGCCTTGTCCTGCTGGGGCTGCCTTCGGGGCTGTGTCTCAGGTGTGCGTGTGCTCTGCTTCCTCCCTGCCCTCTGTGCCAGGTGCAGCGCCAGCTCCAGACATGTCCTGCTCTGAGAAGTGCCAGCAGTGCCAGCCCTGCGACCCTTGCTGCCAGCCCTGCGGCCCCTGCCCGCTGGCCAGCAGCTGCACTGAGTGCTGTGTCAGGCAGTGCCAGAGCTCCCACGTTGTCATTCAGCCGCCTGCTGTGCTGGTGACCCTGCCCGGCCCCATCCTCAGCTCCTCCCCACAGAACACCGCTGTGGGATCCTCCACCTCCGCTGCTGTTGGCAGCATCCTCAGCTCCCAGGGAGTGCCCATCAGCTCTGGGGACTTTGACATCTCCTGCATCACCAACTGCTATGGTGGCAGCAGATACTGTCGTCCCTGCTAAACATGCTGATGCCAACATCCTCCAGCAAGAGTCTCCAAGACCTCAGGACATGCTGCTGGAATGCTGTCTGAACCTAAGACATTTGATTTAGAGCTGCAAACTGTTGTTTCCTTCTTCTTTTCCTCTCATTTTTCTGTCCCCTTCTTTTCCTGTCACTACTATTGAAATGGCAACCTAGTGGGACCTGTTGGCCTCCTTCCCTTGGCAGGCCAGGACATCAGACCTGCTGCTGCACCTTGGTTGCTGCCCTCGGGTGCCCTCTCTGACCTTCCATATTTTCTTCTTTTGACTTAATAAAGTTGTTTGTGCATTCTCACCATGGTCAATGATTTGTCCTTTCTTTTGTGACATCTCTCCCCGTTGCTCACTTGCAAAAGGCTGGAGGAAGCCCAGCATTGCCATCCCTGCAACCTCCTTGGTGCAGTTTTTTCACTTCTATTTTGTCTGTTCGTTCTTTCCTTGGAGCTCACAAAGATGGTGGTGGCATTGTAGTAAATTGCCCAGAAACGCTTTGGATGCTCAACACTGGATGTTAACCCTGCTTTGAGCAAGCTGGTTTAGTGGGTGCCCAACTGTTAGGGGCAGGAGGACAGGAATGAAATGGTCTTGAAGTTGCCTTCCAGCCCAGACCACTTCTAATGAAATCTGCTTTCCCAAAGGCCTCAGCAGTGTGACAAATGTGCTCAGTGTGGGGCAGGTCTGAGTCCCCTTTGGACACAGCTGGAGCTGACTCAGTCAGACATGGCTGGAGACACTGGGCTCTTCTCACAAAGCCCATTTCTGCTGCCTTAGTTACAAAATTTTTCCTTGTGAGCAACCAAAACACATGAGGAATCCCTGCTTTGTGGGAAATTGACAGCCATCATTTCCGGACCGAAGGAGGCTATGAAATTTTTTTCCCCCTAGTGTACTTGTTCATGCATAACCTTTCACTTTTGCAAATGATTAAAAAGCTCCCTTCTATCAAGTTTCAAATTGTCCTCAGATTTATGTTGTCTTCTCTGATTCCTAGAGGAAGGGGATTGATAGAGCAGCTTACTGGGCGCCATCCATCCAGCCAAAGGCCACAGAACAAAGCTGCTAATCCAGCCCAGGGCAGGAGCAGGAATGATCTGCAGAAGCCGGCATGCACTCCTGACCAAAGGGAATTGTATTAGAGGGGAGGCAAGAGCATAAAGAATACCTTATGTCCCCTATCCATTCCCAAAATGGGCCTGAAAAACAGGCTGCACGTGAAAACTCATGGGATACCACAAAGAGATGCGGGAGAGATTGGCACCTACAGAGGAAGAATGAGAGTGATGCCCTGAGTATTTTGCCTCAAACAAACCCACAGGAATTAAACAGGTTCAGGTCATGAGCCTGCATGGAATGCCACCAGACCATGATCCCAGCATTCTGCCTGCTCTGACGTCTTTATATCCTGGAAATCCTTGGGCCGCTCATCCTGGCCCTAGAAGGAGTCTTCAGATAGGAACGCACAGTGCGGAAGCCAGGAAATAGAGGCTGCAGTGCAGGAAACCAGGACACAGACCCTACCATTAGCTGGAATAGTTTGCATTTGACATGAGCTGGTAAGAAAATTATGACATCCACGAAGGTGCCTCTGGGCCTGAGGCAGGGCAGGACGGCTATAAAAGACAGCCCAAATCTCTGCTCTCTCATCCACTTCTCTCACCTCCTCCTCTTCTTCAGGAATCAGGTGAGTGGGAGGCCTCTTCTCCTCCTCCTCCTCCTCCTGCTGCTTCAAGAGCAGCTCTTACCTGGCTGGAGGTCTCAGCTGAGAGGGGCTATAAGAGCCCAGGGCTGGGAGCTGGTTCTATTGGGAGAGGGCAGGGGAGAGAAGGTCTTGTGCAGACAGAGAAAGGATGGGACTTGGCTGAGGTGACTCCTGGGCTTTGAGCTGGGCAGTGCAATGTGGGCCAGGAGGTGCCTGGGCTGCAGGGTGTTTGGGTGCAGTGCTGCTTCTCATGTGTCCTCACTTTGTGCTTCTCCCTGCCCTCTGTGCCAGGTGCACCTGTGACCTCGAGCCATGTCCTGCTGCCAGCCCTGCGACCCTTGCTGCCAGCCCTGCGGCCCCTGCCCGCTGGCCAGCAGCTGCACTGAGTGCTGTGTCAGGCAGTGCCAGAGCTCCAACTTTGTCATTCAGCCGCCTGCTGTGCTGGTGACCCTGCCCGGCCCCATCCTCAGCTCCTACCCACAGAACACCGCCGTGGGATCTTCTACCTCTGCTGCTGTTGGCAACATCCTCAGCTGTGGTGGAGTGCCCATCAGCTCTGGGGGCTTTGACATCTCCTGCATCACCAACTGCTATGGCAGCAGATGCTGTCCCCCCTGCTAGAGCTGTAGCCAACATCCTTGGGCAAGAACCTCCACAGCCTGAGTATATGGAGGTGCACTGAAGATGGATCTTTGGAATAATGAATTTGTGCCCTTGCTTTACTGCTTTTTTCTTCCACTCTCTTTTCTTCCTTTCCGCACCACCCAATGCCAGCCCAGTGGAACCTGTTTGCCTCCCTCTGTCCCTCTGCAGACCAGGCAAATGGACATTCCCACTGCACCCCGCTGGCTGCTCCTGGTTTCATTTTTCAGCTTCCTCCTCTCTTCCTTAGACTCAATAAAGTTGTTTTGCATCCAACCCTGGTCCTCTGCTTTCTCCTTCCTTGTGTGGGAGCTCTTCCAGTCAGCTCAGGGCAAAAGGTGCAGGAAGACAAGGTTGGACAATTTGTGGTGGCTGTTTTTTGTGCCTTTTCTCTTGCATGTCCCAAACAAATCCCAGGCTTCCCCAAAACAGTGATCATCATGAGAAGATGATGTCAAAGGTCATAGGAGTGGGAAGGGGAAACAGCATTCCTGGGGATAGTCCACAGCCTCCTCTATTCAAACACCTCCCTCACATTAGCTTTCTGCTCAACTTTCAACCAGACCGGAAGGGCTGAGGGGTTTCACAGGGTCAAAGAAGCATGAGGACAGAAAGAAAACCATCCTCCCACATTGTTGGAGTCTGCCACTGTTACCCCTTCTGGATGCAGGAGAGGAGAAGTTCTCCCAGACACGGTTTTTCTTCACATGCCTCATTCTCTTTGACAACATCATTTTCCCACAGCTCCTGGCTCAGGACAAAGGCCACTGTGGCCACTGGACACCTCATCCCCACAGAGCCACCAGAACACTGTCACCTCCAAGCCTCCCCATGAAGCACGAACTCAGAGCCTGGGAAACAGCCGAGTGCCCCAAGGCTTCCTGGAGGTGGCCACAAAGACATGGCCTGGGTTTGGGATTTTCCTTGTGAGGTTTGGATGCCGTGGCCCTCTCCAGGTTCCTGCAGAGAAGAAACATGGGCCGAGTGTGTGTGGGTGTCTGGTACTGGTGGGATCCTCCACCTCTACTGCTGTTGTCAGCATCCTCAGCTCTGATGGAGTATCCATCATCTTTGAGGGCTTTGACATCTCCTGCATTACCAACTGCTGCAATTGAAGCAGGAGATGCCCAGCTTGCTAAGGACTCCAGTGAAAGGGCAGACAAGGAGCTCAGAAGATGGTTCCAGACTACACATAAGGATATTCTGGCTGTGGCTTTCAGAAGGGCTAAACTTGTGTCTCTTCTGCTTCAAAGGGTGTCATCTCTCATTCCTTTCCTCTGATTTCTCCTTTCCTACCTTTCCCTTTTTTTTCCCCTGCATCCGTTAACCTTGATCCTAATTAATACTTGCCTAGGGCAGACTTCCCGCACTTCTGTCTCTGTTGGGGACTGACCTTCAGGCGTCCATGCTGAGTTTTTTTAATCTTGCCTCCTCTCCAAAATTTATTTTTCTCTTTAGACTCACTAAAATCTACTGCATTCCAGGTTCTGGCTCTTTGTGTGTCCTGGGGTGGTTTTACCATGATTAGTCTATTCCCTTATCATCTGCTTCATGTCTAAAAAAATAGTTGCTTTATCTCGAAGGTGCGTCCTAGGGGAGGGGGAGCCTACAGGTGTTTGGTGTCTTTTTCCAAGCCCACTCCCCAAACATCAGGATTGCTGGGCAGTCTGATTTTTTTGCTTGGTCAGCTTGCTTTTTTGTTAGTTTAGGTGAGGTTTTTTTTCCTTCCTGGCCTTAGAGAAGCTACTGCAGCAATCCTTCAGCATCTTTTTGGAAGTGAACGCATGGTTTGCTTTTGGTCCAAGATCAGGGAGAATGAGTGGCAGGGCAGGAGCTGAGCAGGACTGGTGGGAAATGTGAGGGGCCGCTCTGTTTCGGCCCTGGACTTTGGAGAAAGCTGAGCTGGAGAGACAAAGCACACAAAGCCCACCTGCTTTATTTGCTGTGAACGTGGGACCAAAACCAGAGGTTCACCAGGTTCCCATCTGTTTTCCCAAGAAGCTGCATGAAATTTTTTTGGAATTTTTTGCCCCTGGCACAGGAGCCAGCACCATCTTTCTCCCCACCACATGACAGACCATTGTGGTTTTTTTTTTTCCTTTCCCTGGCATTTTGGGTTTTTGTTCTGGTTGCAGGGGGGAGGAAGGGAACAAGGTCTGACAGCTCAATATCTAACATTTATTCACCATTTCCCATGCTGTATGGGCACTCTGACAATAAATGGTTGGGGTTTTCTTCAATTTCATTCACTAGAATTCATTTCTTATTGGTGGAAAGTGATTGCTGGAATATTTTTTTAGACCAAACACTCATTCCAGAGTGTTTTTCTCCTAAACTTGCCTCTAAACTGGGACAGTGTGGTCCTTTCCTGGCTGGATCCTCACTTAACATGTCCTGCAAGAAAAGGTGCACCACAAGCACAGAAGTCAAATGACAACATTGCCCACTGCCCTTTTGTGAGAACCCCAGCCTTACTCTGGGGTCTCATATGGTGGTGAAATTCCTCCTCCAACCCCTGCTTCCAAAGAAAAACTCTGCAGTCTCTTGTTGTTCCATCTCAAGACAATTTATTGCTAGTTATCTAACAGATTATGTTCTCGGGCTGCGGCTGCTTGGTCAGCGGCCTGGGTAGAGACACACACACACCCTGACATCCTCTCTGTCTGCTGTCTTCTTCGTCTCCCCCCACCCACCCAGGGCTGCTGCTATCTTTTATATGATATATTACGTATTACATATTTATAGTTTTCCCCCAATACCTATTACCTATATTACAAAGTGTGTTTCTACTCTAAACCAATCTGTGAGTGCCAACATCACCAAGAACATGGAGGCAAGGAAGAAGAAGGAGGAAGAACAGGATCAGCCCACTTTCCTCCATCTTAGAACTTCTGACCCCCATGTACAAAGTAAAAACCCCCCTGTACAATACTAAAAAAAATTCCCCTCTACTTTGTAACTACTTTTACTATACTATCTAACCTTTTGTGACTGCTTGTTCCAACTCCAAAGTTGGTAATTCATTCCATGGCTCAAACTCAAAATCACAGCTGTTTTTCAGCTGCCTGCCAGGGTCTAAAATGCTTCTGACCAAGGCCTGGAACCTCTAAAAATGTCTGAGGGACATTTTGAGTTCCAACACCCTTTGAGGGGTCAGTGGAAGAAAGAGAATTGCTCCTGCTGGCACACATAGAAATTGGAAGAATCCTATGTAAATGAAAACACTAAAGACACTTCTCATTACCAGAATTGTTACAAAACAACAGAGACCTCAACTAGTTTTGAAACACACCCAGCTGCTGTCTCAGTCTCCATCTTTTATGGGTCATGGGAAAGTAACTTGAAAAAGGTTGAGTTAAGGTAAAAATATTGGGATTATTCACCATAACCATCAGAGGAAAAACCAGGCTTGACTTGGAGAACATTCATCCTACTGAAGAAACAGGAAAAAAAAAAAAAAAAGCACTAAATTGCCTTTACTCCAACTCTTTTTCTTTCTTTTCCTCTCCTTATTTCTTGGTTCTTCTATTTCCACCACCCTTAAGCAGCACAGTGGCATGCAAAATGGAGAGTTGCAGTGGGTATGCAACAGTTTCTTTCTGTTCAATACTGCAAGACATGCATAAGAAAATGAAGGAAGAATTGATCAGTTTGTCCTAAGTCACATTTTTCTGCTCCCAAGGCACAATTGCTAAGCCATGAGATTCAGTTTTTGGAGGGGGCTGTAGAAAAACCGGGCTAGAAAACCCAAGGTGTTTGACTCAAAGCTGTGACTCCTCCAGAGAAACTCTCCTAACATCTCACAGAGAAGCAACACATGAACATGGTGCCTTCAGTTCAAGACTTAATTGTAGGAAGGCGTCAACCTTTGCCTCAGCACTAGGTTGCTGAGCTGTGAAGGGCATCTTGCATTGGCCCTGACATGAGGAGGCTGTGTCCTATCTTGGTCACCAGCAACACTGCACCAGAAAGGATTGATTCAGGGATGACAGCTTGCAGAGGCCAGCAGGATTTATTTACCTTTCTTCCTGAATATAAAACAAGAAAAGAAGGGTGCAGGAGGCACAGACTGTGTTTCAGTCCCCTGGACACTTCTGTACAAGGCTAAAGGTTTCACCATTCAGCTGTAAATTGGATCCTCCTAGAAGTGCAACAGGCAACACTGTGGTGCTCAATGACACATCACAAGAGACTCCCCTGGCTATGACCTGCACATGTTCTCAGGATAAGTGTTCCCAAGTTCAGGCAGATGCACATGTGCTTACAGATATTTGCAAGGAGTCAAACAAAAATCTGGACGCTCATATAAGGCCAAGAAACATAACAAGCTGAGAACTCTGCTGTAGAGATACAGTATGACTCCTCAAGTGGAAGTCCGTGGGCATGTGGAAGTGAAGCACAAGAGTGATGTTCATTTGTTGACAGCTTGGACAAAAACAAACCCACAGGAATGACACAGGTTGAACACTTTGTCCACAGAGGATGCTGCCACCTGATGGTCTGAGCATTCCAAATGCACTCAGCATTGGTTTTGCCCAGGAAATCCTTGAGTCTCCCATCCCAGCACTTAGAGAAATGACCATTCATGTAGGAAAGCAAAGAGAATTAGGCAGGAAATGAAAAGGCAGCAGTACAGGAAATCAGGACACAGCCCCTACCATTAACTGGGATGGGGCACGTTTGACATGAGCTGGTCAGAAAATTATGACTTCCACTAAGTGCTTCTGGGCCTGAGGCAGGGCAGGACTGTTATAAAAGGCAGCCCAAGTCTCTGCTCTCTCATCCACTTCTCTCACCTCCTCCTCTTCCACAGGAACCAGGTGAGTGGGAAACCTCGTCTTCTCCTCCTGTTGCTGCTCTTGGAGCAGCACTTGCCAGGCTGGAGGTCTCAGCTGAGAGGGGCGAAAAGAGCTCAGGGCTGGGAGCTTCTTCTATTAAGAGAGGGCAAAGGAGAGTAGGTCTTTGCGGGTCGAGTAAGG